CGGAAGGGTGGTAATCCTCCGACTGAAGCTACAACAGGCTAAATCGATGACCTTGGTACAGGTTTATGCGGTGAAATCTAATTTAAGAAATTATGTTGTTTAATATCTGAATATTTAAGCCAAGATTTTATATGAAATGGCACGAGAACAAACATTATTTAGAATAAAATAATGGCCATCGATAATTAAAGAAAAACTCAGATAATACCAGATCCTGGAGAGCCTTTTGATTCATTTCTGTTGCTTTTCTTATCGCTACTACCTCTCTAGCACGACTCTAAGATCAAAACAAATAAAATGCGAGAGAGAATCAGACTACCATGCCTCAGACTCCACTTCCAGGAACTCTTCGCCCGCTGACGGTAGGTCCTTCCAGCCGATCGCCTCCACGGGGAAAGAAGGTACTACTTCAGTAATTCTGACACCATGTTCGTCAAAAAGTGCTCGACTTTTGCAGTACGTCGTTCCAGCGACGAGAACCGATCCTTGCTTTAACGTCCCCCTTTGAATCAGCAGCGTACACACTTTCCTGCAAGAGAAATTTAGTAAAAATTTTATCAGAGAAACTGCACGTAGATTCATGATTTTAGGTATCAAATGAATAGAAGTCAATTAACAGCAAAGCTTCTATTAACAGCTACAAATGAGTTAACAATAGAAATTACGAGGTTGTAGGTAAGTAGCCACAGATTTCTTCCATAAATAAATTTCATTGGAAAGGTGGGAAAATGCTACAAAATTTGACAAGCTAGATCGATAGGGACCTCTGTCTGTACTGAACCGGGCAGAGACCAGAATGACACGAAATTGGTTTATATAAAGAAAGAAAACCATCTCGCAGTCAGCTGCTTTTAAGTACAAAATGAGGCAGAGGGCTTCACCCTTAAAGCCAATGGCTCCGGGCGTGACATAAGATTATCTTTCGTTTTGATCCCGATGTTTCGACTGAAGTCATGAAAACGGATGCTGCCAATTCAGTCTGTGAAATATCCCTAATGATGGTTTCGATGCCAGATGTCGAAAGGTAGGAATAAAACAGAAAAGATAATCTTCTGTCACGCACAAATCCGTTCGTAACGAAAAGATGCGTAATTAAAATAGCACTAATTTGTACTGAAAATAACATTCCAGGTCATTCTTTGCCATCACCTGGGTATTCTGTCAATCAAATG